CACACTTTATAAAATCAATTACTAGTTGTCTCTACTTTCGATTTTAATATTAACCGTTTTTTAAATTATTATTATTATTTTTTTTGACTTATGAAACTAAATTCCCTACCTTTGCGTCTGTAAAAGTACAAAGCAACTCCAATAACCAACAGTAAAACAACAGGTACAACAACTGCTGGCATAATTATGTTTAGCTGGACTAGAGATTCACTGCTAGCACTATCCGTGGTTGCTCCTCCGCTAGGAATAAATCATAGTTATCTTTTACTTTTATAGTATATGTTTTATGGTCCCTTCAAGGCATGAAAAGGTGGGACTTTTGTTGGGGGTGAAGAAAATGTTAACAGAAGTACTATAAAACGTCCCCCTTTGTAAAATATCCGTCAGGAAATCTAATTTATAATAATAGATTTTGACCCCTGAGACTGGATTGGCATTGTGGGTCTTACCGGGTATCCAGTAAAGTTAAATATATATACTGAAAAATACTTTGTTCGTCCTATTGAATAATATTTAGTGAAATTCTTGCAATTGTGAACAAGTATTTTAAAACGTTATAATCAAATCTCATAGGTTCAGAATATTTTTTTTCAAAATCACAATAATTATTTCATTACTCGACAAATTATGGGATATTTTTTAAAGAAAGTCATCGCTGCAATAGTTTATATCACCAAAAACGCCCCTTTTCCCATAACTATAACATATAATTATATTTTAAGTTGTACAGAAGCTCAAAGGACACTTTTTTTAAAAACTCACAATCTTGTTTATTTTGAATATTGTCATATTTACTGTCATATGAAAATTAATTCAAATGAACAAAACCTAAATATAACTTTTCCAAAAAGTGCAGTGTATATTAGACAAAAAAAAGTTTTATTACAATACGAAAAAGAATACATGTACTTATATTCTAAGAGTTTTGTTCAGGCAACCCGGGTCTGTAAATATATTACAATATTGAATTATTTTAAATGAATGTAGTAGTATACATTAAACTGAATCACAGTACCTTATGTAATTATTAGAAACCCATTTATCTGTCTCTCTACTCATACCAAAGAATATTCTTTCAAGGGGTTTAAAATGAAATTATCTTTCTTAAAATATATTTGTAAAATAATTGCTAAAAAAGCAAGATGAGGCAACAGTAACAGTAACCTTACATCCACAGTTGATTAACTAGGTTCATCAATTGTTAACTGCAATTTATGAAAATTAAACTAAAGTTAACGATTCGTACACTGTAGTTTCTGCATTTTACTTCTACCTATTCATATAAATTGTTAGCAAAAAATGTAAATAATCTTAATTTTATTATTTTATTTAAACAGTATTATATTTCATGAATGATATGGAGATAACGAACAGTATTCAATCTCAAAGTCCATAAAACAATACAAAACAAGAGCAGAGCAAACATGGACCTCCGAAACATCAGAGGTGGGATCAGGTGCCAATTTTACTCTGTATCTACTATATCTGATAGTGTGTACTTACATAAATAAACCATATTAGATCTGTAGTCAGTGTCTGGGCATGCTCCATACTGAAGGTCACAGGGTACTTTGTCAATTTAATCGGCGGCCATGTTATTAAAAATTGAACAGAAATCTAGATGTGAAAATGAATAAAAGGCCCGTAGGGAGCAACGCTCATCTCAAAACGATGACCATTCTGTTCATAAACACATATTCCCCAATCCTAATCAAAATGTAATGAATCAAAAGTAATGAAGCTTTCACACAAATATTTTTTATAATAAATAAATATTTTCTTCACAAATTAGTTATTTCCAATTAAAGAGGGATTGTCACTTCTTTAGAAAAAATAAATCTGCTTCATCCAAGAATGTTTGTAGAAAGTTTAGCTAAATCTGCTTCATCCAAGAATGTTTGTAGAAAGTTTAGCTATAATTATCCTTGTGATTCTTAAGAAGAAATTGAAAGTGTAAAATATGTAGATGACAGGCGACGGACGAAAAACAGACACTGGAAACCCTTTGATCAGAAACATTTTATACATTTCCCATTTGATACAATAACATAAAACATATGATATATAAATTCAACGTGAAACAAAATGCTTCAAGCAATTCAATTTTCATATTTCATATTTTCTGAAAGTTACACGTCAAACCATTAGACACGTTTACATATGGTATGTAGATAAGAGCAAAAAATATTGCTTATTTGATATATTTGTACAGAGTTCTTACTTCTTGTTGCCCACTTTGGTTCGACACAGACCTCATATGGTTTGTTATCTTGGTTCGGAATACAGTGATACAACTCCAGGTTCTGGCAATTAAACTTCCTCTCCAAATCTTCCCAATCATTTCTATTGAAGGGGCAAAATTTTCCGGATTTTAAAGGCTTCAATTGAATTTTTTCCATAATTTGTACAGGGAACCCCTTAAAACAACAAAGTTGGGGATTGAAATTCTTATGTTCACATTTAAGTGTTTATACGGTCCTGTAATGGCATATGCATCACATAGCAAAAAATGTTTTCAAACATTACTCAACTGGGTTAGATTTGGAAAAATTGACGCGAAATTGGGAAAATTGACACGAATTTTTCAAATTGTGAAAAATGTTAGTTGTTTTCCAGTGATTTTATTGTGTAGAAACATAAATACATAAGAATATTTTGTAGAAAATGCCTTTTTAATGAGAGAGTATAAAAAGTCGAATGACAGATTTTGTGCGTTTAGGCAAATTTGTCTAATCCTTATTATTTTTAGATCATACAAGGACTGCACATGCAAATGCAATTTTCATGATAACTGCAATCCTTTTTGCATAGGACTTAGGTAACTTAAATGGCAGGAAAGTGGTTAAGTAACTGATCACTAAACATTGTTGTTAATTTACAAGATATGTTGCATATGGCAAGCCCTTATACTATTTATTCATGAAATAAAAAAAATATTTAAATAAGAGAGATACCTCTTTAGCTTATAGAGATATCTCTTTAACTATGAGAGATTTCTTTCTGACTAATAGATATATCTTTATACCTTAGAGATATCTCTTTCAACAGAAGAGATACAAGTATATCTTTTTGTAAGAGATATATCTCTTTTACGTACAAAAAGATATCTTTATAAGCTAGAAAGATATATCTGATTTCTTTTCAGGGTTTGGGCTGCATTTCATTTCCGGAATTTTTGGTAATTATCAGTTTTTCATTTCCAACATTTTTTATTTTTCATTTCCGACATTTTTTGGTTTTCATTTCCAACATTTTTCAAATACATATGTAGAACTTTTAGTAACATCTGAATACTTTACTTATGGAAAATTAAAAGAAAAAAAATTATACATAAATAATTGAAATCCACTATCTGAGTTTTGTAATCTATCAATGACTTGGACATTAAAGGTGTGGTGCTGTCGGTGTCTTCTAGCTATTCCCACTTTTTAAAAATCTCAATTCCACCTATTCCCACTTGCAAATAACAGTAGATGTTTAGATTTACCTGTATTTTGTACATTTTAAGACAGAAAATAATGAATACATCTATGAGAAAATATGATTTATTTCGGATTTTTGAAATAATAAAAAGATCTTACAAGAAAAAGCAACTTAAAACTTAAATTCAAGAACATAGTTAATTATTTGTTTACACAAAATTCCACCTATTCCCACATAAAATCTTACTTTTTTCTACATGATTTTCAAAAAGTGGGAATAGGTAGAATGCTCATTGAACTCTTTTTCCTAGACTTATAATTAGTGCTACATGTATGCATATATGTGTAAATTTTTTTTTTCCTATTTTTTTTTATCAATATTTTGTATTAATACTTTTAAAATTCCATTTTCACTAATACTTAGAAAACATTGAATTGCCGCACATGTAAATTCCGGAAATGAAATCAAAATTAAGTCGGAAATGATAACAAAAAATGTCGGAAATGAAATAAAAAAAATGTCGGAAATGATATGCATATTTCCGGAAATGAAATGCAGCGAGCATTTGGCAGTCTCAACGTTTAACACTCCTCCCGAACGCCATGCAGTATTTAAGTGACATCTCCAATACCAATGAGTTAAACCTCGTTATGCTCTCCAATGGCCTCTCCATTTCTGGACTCTTTAAAAAATTTAGAAGCTTGATTTCCGAAAAGACGATATTTCTCATTCTTTTTTTTAAATTCTTAAAATGAAACTGTAGTGCGTATATAAAACTACAAATACACATGGGCCAGATTCAATTATTTGATCTACATGTATTTGTTTTTTTTGAAATACAGAACTTCTATTACTTTTACACAAACGATGTTGAAAATTTACACAAGCCGTCTTATAAATTATGTGAAATTTTATGCGTTTAAATTTTACGGATTTATAAAACTCGTAAAAATTAGTAAAAATTAGCAGCACGTGAAAAAATATCCGTTATACGGTATGAGAATTAGTTCAAATGAGCAAAATCTGAGTATAATGTATCCAAAAGTTCAGTGTATATTAGACAAACAAAGTTTCATTATGTTACAAAAAAGAAATACTTACCTTTTAAGAGTTTTGTTCAGACAGCCCGGGTCTGTAAATATATTACGATTTTGACAAATTTTAAATGAATGCAGATACATAGAACTGAATCACAGTAACTTTTGTAATTATGAAAAAAAATCCCATTAATTCATCTGTCTCTCTTCTCTTACCAAAAACATCCTTTCCATGAGTTTAAAGTGAAATTATCTTTCTTGATAAAAAATTGTAAAATAATTTTTTGAAAAGCAAGACGAGTCATGCAACAGTAACCTTTCCATCCACAGCTGATAAATTAAGTTAACTAGGTTCATCAATTGTAAATGGTAAGTTACAAAAATCAAACAAAAGTTAACAATGCGTAAACTGTAGTTTTTGCTTTTTACATCTACCTTTTATATAATTTTTTCGCAAAAATAGACTGTAAACAATCTTAATTTTATTACTTAATAAACAGTATGTATCATACATTTTACTCTGCATCTACTTAAATTCATATTATGTCTGATAGTGTGTACTTACATAAATAAACCATATTAGATCTGTATTTAGTGTCTGGGCATGCTCCATACTGAGGGTCAGAGGAGGTGTGATCAATGTAACCAGCGGCCATTTTATTGAAAATTGGACAGTAATCTACATGTAAAAATGAATGAAAGGTCCATAGTAAAAAATGCTCATCTTAATAACGATGGCCCTTCTGTTTAAAAACATATTTTCCCAAATCTTAATAAAAATGTAACGAATCAAATGTAATGAAACTTTTATGCAAGTATAATCCTTCTGGCCACTGATTCATGAAATGAATTTAAAAAACAAAAAACAAATATTTGTCACAAATTTATTATCCCCCTTTGAAAGAGGGATTGCCACTTCCTTAAAAAGTAAATCTGCTTCATCCAAGAATGTCTGTAAGTATAGAAAGTTAAACTGTAATTGGCCCAGTGATTCTTAGAAAGATATTGAAAATGTAAAATATGTACACGACAAGCGACGGACGAAAGAAAGACCGGAGAACTTCGATCAGAAACGCTTTAAGCATTTGCCAATTGATGAAATACTGTATACAGGGAAATTTTCGCCCCGTTTTTCCCTTCCTGCTCATGGTCCTAAGAGCCGAGTATAGAAAAAAAAATTGCAGCTCTCCTAAGGCAAGTGGTGGCGTCTCCATATGAGTGAAAAATTTTCGAGAGGGACGTTAAACAATATACAATCAATCGTCCTATATACTTTCATTTTGGACGAATTCAAAACAAGGCAAATTAAAAGAACACAGTATAATTTCTTACACAAAACTGTGATTGAGTGAATTCAAAAGGGGCAAAATTGTTTGAAAGTGTGAAAGGGCGAAAATAAAACGGGATGAAAATAACCCTGTATACAGTAGCATAATATACATAATATGATATGTGAATTCAACATGAAACAAAATATTTCAAACAATTTAATTATTTCCTATTTTCTGAAAGTTACACGTCAAACCATTACACGTTTACTAGTATCCCATGCCCATATGGAATGTAGATAAGAACAAAAACATTGCTTATTTGATATATTTTGTACAGAGTTCTTACTTCTTTCTGTCCATTGTGGTTGGACACAGACCTCATACGGGTTGTTATCTTGGTTCGGAATACAGTGATACAAGTCCAGCTTCTGACAATTAAACTTCCTCTCCAAATCTTCCCAATAATTTCTATTGAAGGGGCAAAATGTTCCGGATTGTAAGGGCTTGAATTGGATTTTTTCCATCCCTTGTACAGGTAACCCTTTAAAACAACAAAGTTGGAGATTGAAATTCTTATGTTCACATTTAAGTGTTTAAACGGTCCTGTAATGGCATATGCATTACATAGCAAAAGATGTTTTCAAAAATTACTCAACTGGGTCCGGGGTCCGTAGATTTTGGAAAATTGACGCGAAATTGGAAAACTGACACAAATTTGTTAAAACTGGAATTTTTTTTAAACGAACAAATTTTGTTTTTTTTTACCCCAATAAATGAAAATGAAGGGGTCTAAAGCTGCCGATGTAACGAAACAGTTAAGAATGAAGACAAATATGCTGTTATAAATTATTGGAAAATAAGAATTGCCAAAAAAAAAAATGATTGTGGTATTCGTATAATTCCATGATTGATGATGTAAGAGAAATTAAGTTTACGTATTATATTTCAACTGGATAATGAAAAGATCTAGGAAAAAATCATGTCTGACGTGAAGAAAAAAGTCTAAATGAAAACACCTTTTTTTACTTGGATAATGGTTATTTCGAGAGAAAATATTTTCTTTTAGAAATTATTCCATTCATTGCTGAGTTTACGTGGGCACTTTTTTTTATTGTCCTTTGCATTCATGACTGGAGTAATAATAAATAAAATAAAAGTTTGGAAATGATACATGTATGTGGGAAATTAGTTGTTTTCCAGTAATTTTATTGCATAATAAAAAAAACATGTACATAAGAATATTTTCTAGAAAAGGCCTTTTTAAGGACAGACGAGACGTTCCTTAATAATAGATAAATTTTTCTAAGAGTTTGTCATTGAAGTATTGCTACTAAAACATGTTTACTCACAAAAAATTAAGGTACCTTACCAGGCATTTCTGCAAGATACCAGGGGTAGTTTTTCTTATATAATCCTTTGGGGAAGAAAAATAATTTTCCAATTTCAAATGTTTAAGTGTTTGGATTTTTTTAAAAACGTTTAGAAACTGGTTTAGAAATCAGAATGTTATTAAATTTTTGAATAGTTTTCATATATAACGAAGATATACAAAACAGATTTTGAGGAACGTCTCGTCTGACCTTAAATGAGAGAATAAAAAATGTCTGATGACAAAGAAGATGGGCGCATTTGGCGGGTGATCTGCAGGAATCATTTGTACGAAACATTTATGGTTTAAATGTCCATGATTTGGTTGGCTGAATATAGCTGGTCAGATTTTACAAACACGACCATAGGTTTTCTTTTTCTAATTTAGTTTGAAAGACTTTGTGAGATTGTAACATTTATGTCCGTTTTTCCTAGGGGGTACTATAACATAGTAATGTTTCACAAAAAATAAACACCTAAAATATTTAATGCATAGATGCATGATAAGTGTACATGTAACTATATAATAAAAGATTGGAATTGATTTCGCTCGAGAACCAAACTGAACCAAAATTTATCTAATTAAAATAATACATCAGTACATAAAACGAAACTAACAAAATAAATAGTTGTTTGCATGAAAAAAAAAATTAACGCCCAATGCCAGGCTCGAACCAAAAACTTTTCGCTCCGAGTGAACTGAACAGGTAGCCTAACTTACTGAGCTATCACCGCTACACACATACAAATGATTTTAAAAGGACAAAGAAGCACCACATTTACACATCTGGATTTTTTTGGAAAAAGTTCATTTTTCGTGGTCTCTGGGTCTTCTCTCCATTTATTGAAAATATGTATTCGTTTCTTTGAATTGAAATACACACAAACAATGTTTAAAAATCATGGAGAGAAGACCCAGAGATAGAAAAATTTTAGAAAAATGTGATTAAAAATGTACCATTTTGTGCCAAATGTCTGATCTGGCCAATTTTCAAGTTATTTTTTTTTAGCAAATCAAAGCCCAATTTCGGGAAAATATTTTCCTTTCCTGTTGCACATGAACCCAGTAAATAAAAAAATGTTAAAATTTCATGTGACATGTCGATAAAATTTTCACTTTTCAATTACGCCCAGATTCCTGCCGAATGCCAATCAAAAGGGTCCTCGTTCTTTTGTGCGTTTAAGCAAATAAGCAAATACTATTTTTATTATATCATGCAAGGACTGCACATGCATTGGCAATTTTTTGTATAGGATTTAGGTAACTTAAATGGCAGGAAGGTTGACCCTGTCAAGATTTATAGACGTCTTGCAAGTAAAGAATTCAAACAAATATTTTTATAATATTTTGTTAATATTCCTTTCTGAACTCTCCTTTTTTTCAAGCACACGTAATTGGGAAAGAAAGAATCAAAATTTGGGAAAATATGGCTGATTTTTGGATTGGATTGGGAATGGGTCCGGTATAAATATAAATGACTATAAATAACAGTGAATTTTAAATCTTAAAAAAGAGAGATTTCGATAACTTGTTGATTAAACCTAAGATGATTTAAATTGTAAGATATTTATACCGGAAAATGTCTTCAAACATACAACATATTAGAAATCACTAAAAAAGTGTACTCTCCGTATGTTTGCACTTTCAATATCTATTTAGAAAAAGTCAACAGGAAGTGCTGAATAACATGTACACGTAAAGCAACAAAATAAAGAGGTTTAGTTACACGTTTTGCGACGAACTTGTACGGATGACGTCATCAGTCGTTGTGTTCTTCGACATTATGACGTCAAATCCAACGTGTAGCTACAAGTTTATAACGTGTAATACACTAGAGAGGTTTAGTTACACGTTTTGCGACGAACTTGTACGGGTGACGTCATCAATTGTTGTGTTCTTCGACGTCATGACGTCAAATCCAAGTTTAGAACGTGTAATACACTGTCTACACGTACGACGTAAACGGGTAAAGTTATGGGTTAAATTCTTTTTTTTTCGATGCAGTTGATTGATTTTTGTGCTATAAAACAAGAACACTAGTCTATCTAAAACTTTCATGAATGATGATTCGATGATTCCATCAAAATATTAATTAGTATTTTTATCAATAAAAAGTTAAACTCAAACTGATACCAAACAGGATGTTTACTGAGTATTTTGTACGCAGGATTCATATGAAGAAGACCCCGCCCGTCAATGCACCAAATAAAAATTCATGGTTTCTTGGTGATTTTTCCCTTTCTGTTATTTTTATTAAAACCTATTTTAACACCTCTATATTCTCTATTTTTATGTATAATAAAATATTTTAGAACTATTATATAACATCCACAGGCACTAGTGACATAACAAAAAAATATAACACCTCGCCTAATAACTTACAGGTAGTAGGCCTATGTGTAACCTCAAGTGCTTGTTGAGATTTTATTTCATTAACTATTTTTTTCTTTGGTACTATCACTTGTAAAGATCTAGCGCAGACGCGTATTTAAAAAAAGGGGGGCGGGCGGTGTCTGATTTTGGGTTTAACAATGTATTGATGTATTAAATTTTATTCTATGCCTTTTTTCTAGACGTTATAATGATTGATCCTTCACATTTTATCGTTTTCAAAAAATTTTCTTTTGGACGCCCCCCCATCCACAAAGTGCAAAATGTAGTCGTTTTTATCGTCAAGTAAATAATTTTTATGACTGCTTCCATTTTTAAAGTGATGCAGAATGCAGCTTAATATCCTGTAGAGATACTCGATGATAAATATTTAGAGCGATTCACTGCATTGAGATGACAATACATATAATATTTTTTCATAGTTTATGATATCTATGACTAGAGTAAGTGTAAATTCCATTTCATCATTGATTGTCTAAATTAAAAATAATAAATACAATGCCGTTCAATTAATTTACTGTTCAATCACGTTTGCATACGTACACGTGTACGTATAACTAAATCATTTTATTGACGTTGACGTCAAATAGAACGTGTACGTCAAAGTTACGCATACACGTTGTTACGTCACTTGTAACTAAACCTCTCTACTGTCTGCACGTACGACGTAAACGGGTAAAGTTATGGATTAAATTCTTTGTTTTTTCATTCAGTTGATTGATTTTAATGCAGTAAAACAAGAACACTAATCTATCTAAAAAAAATTATTGAATGGCGATTCAATGATTCCATCAAAGTATTTGTGACGCGCCAAGCAAAACCTCCCTTAACGAAGAATTTTGACATTTTCAGTTTTTTATTGATCCTTGTAGAGTTTTTCTTTCTCTTTCGTTTGATGTATAACATGACATATATTTCTGTGTATAAATGTATAAAATATCGCACGACAAAGACGGAATATTGACTTTGACGTATAGTGTACGCGTGCGTAACTTCATGAATTTTCATAACGTAAAATCGTAAAATAACGAGAAGCTATATAATGATTTCATGATATAAACTAGTATTTTTAAAAAGATAATTTGATTTGATTCCCTTAAAAATATCAATAATTAAGATTTTTAATCGTAATGATAAAAATAAACATTGTAAACTATATCTTTGAAAAATGAAAGGAGGGAGGGGGGGGGGGTGATGGACAATGGCAAAAGAAACGTTACTCAAATCAAAAATCTTCTCTTTCTCTAAAAGCTATTCCAATTTATGTTTTTAATGCAAGAAAATGGCAGACAACAGTAGAAGGAAATAAGCAAAATTTATATGAAAAAATTATATTTATGTATTCTTATGCTTATATGCAAGCTCACCGCAGCTTGTTTTTGCTAATTTTGTATAAGTCAAATAAAACACTTTCATAGAGATGAATAATGTCATTTATTAAAATGACGGTATAAATGTGAACAATTTAACAAACAAGAAGGGGATCAGATTCACAAGCTTTGATTAGCAGTTACGTAAAATATGATAATGTCTGATCCCCCAAAACTGACTAGAAAAAGTATCTGTAAGACAAGACAATGAAAACTTCATATGAAAAAGTTAGCAAAAAGATGGCACATCAAAACAAAATAGGCCACAAGATGTGACATGCAAGTCACATCCATGTTAGATGTGACATGCAGATCACATCCGTGCCATCCAAGGTGAGCTTGCACACAATACGAATTATTCATGGAAGCAGTTAATCACTGGCCTCTCCATACATTTCGTTTTAAAGTAATGAAATGAAAAATCTTCCTATCATTATTCCAAAATCACGGTTTACACGAAATTGTCATATGTAATACAAAATGAAGGAAGAACATCTAATGATATAATATCTGAGAAATGTTAAGAAATATAGGCATTACTAAGTAATT